TTTTGGGGGTGAACAGGATCTCACTGTGTATTTCCGGCTTGGTTTTGCTTCATCCTCCTGAGTGCTGGGATTACAGGCATGTGAAACTTGGCCAGGCTTTTGTGAGTTTTCTGATTTGTTTTTGAGATTGGCTTTCCCTTTGCAACCCAGGCTGGCCTGCAACTCACTGTATAACCCAAACTGGCCTCAAACTCATGATCCTTCTGCCTCAGCTTCCTGAGAGCTGGGATTACAGTCGTGCATCCCTTTTTCCTTTTTTTTTGGAGACAGGGTCTTCCTATATAGGCCTCACACTCGGCAATCTTTCTGCCTCAGCCTCGTGAGTGCTGGGATTACAGGTGTGCACCATGATGCCTGACATCTTTTTTTCTTCTTTGTACTTTTTTTGCTTTGTTTTGAGACTGGGTCTTGGTATGTAGTTCAGGTTGGCCTTGAACTCTCTATGTAATTTAGGCTGGCCTCACAGTTACAACAATCCTCCTGCCTCAGCCTACCTAGTACTAGCATCACAGGCAGGGAGCATCATGCTGGGCTTGTATTTTTGTTTTGTGGTCCTTGGGCCTCTGGTACGCAAAGGCAAAATCTACCACTGAGCTACATCTCAGCCCCTTTATTTTTTATTTTGAGAGTCTCTAAACTGCTCAGCGTGGGCTGGTTGTGACCCTCCGGCCTCATACTCTCAATTCTGGGATTATAGGCCTAAACCACCACAGCTGTCATTTTTTATGATAGTTGTCTTGCTTAGAAGTTTGCCAGGTGTGATGGTGCACATCTATGTAGCACTTGGGAGGCAGGAGGATTGCTGTGAATTTGAGGCCGGCATGGGCTACGTAGTGAGGTCAAGGTCAGCCTGAACTACATAGTAAGACCCTATCACAAACAAACAAGCAACTCTTCCTTCCATATGCTTATAAGATTTGTATCCACTGGGGGGGGTGGCACTGGGGTTTGAACCCAAGGCCTTTGCCCTGAATTATACCCCCAGTTCCATCCCCTCTTTGAGACAGGTTCTCACTAAGTCACTAAACTGCCCAGGATGGGTTGTGATCCTCCTGCCTCAGCTTCCCAGAGTGCTGGATCAGTGTGTACTATTATATTATGTATTTTTATTCTTTCTTTCTTTCTTTCTTTCTTTCTTGCTTTCTTGCTTTCTTGCTTTCTTGCTTTCTTGCTTTCTTGCTTTCTTGCTTTCTTGCTTTCTTGCTTTCTTGCTTTCTTGCTTTCTTTCCTATAAAGACTATTATTAGTCAGGCCAAATAGCTCAGTGGATTAAAGTGCCTGTTTAGGCAGATGCAAGGGTCAGATGTTCAATCCTGGGCGTGCCACGCTGGCCCCTCCCTGGGGGCGCGCTGAGACAGCGGCAATCAAGACTGGGCGCCTGTAATCCCAGCTCTTTGGGCGGCTGTGTTCACAGGCGGATCAATATGAGTTTGATCTACGTAGTGAGACCCTGTAGACGCTTACTAAATTTTTTTTTTTAAAAGACTATTATTATTTGTTAATTTGGATGTTATTTCTTCTGGGGAATTTTTGTAATTTTTTTTTTTTTTTTCAGAACCAGGGATTGAACTCAGGCCCTTGCGCTTGCCAGGCAAGCATGAGGTCCAATGTTTATCCAAGAGGGTACTGTTTTCTGCTAGGTGCCTAAAGGAACTAGTATTCTGTGATCGCATTAATACAGCTTCTGTATTGGGGATGGGTGGAAGTCATGTTGCAGTCCCCTTTGGCAGTTCCTGAAAGGATCACCTTTACTGTCCTAATCTAGCATCCTAATCTACGGTGAGAATTGTTTACAAGGGTCTCTCTCCCTAGGTGGAGCTTGACCTCAATATCTGGTCTGTGACTACTCAAGGGTGTTAAAAACTTCAGCTCTCCCTGGGTGTGGTGGTGCTGCTCTGTTAGAGATGCTGCCTGGTGGCCTGAGGCTGGAGGAACTGGAATTCAGGCTACCTAGTGAGGCCCTCTGTCAAAACCAAACCAAACCAAATCTAAAACCAAAGAGCTAAACAAACAAAGGGCAGGAGAAAGGCCAGAGATACAGGGAATACTCCCTGGGTTCACTACCTGGTACTAAAAAAGAAAAAGAAATAGAAAAAAAGATGAAACAAGCCCCTATACTCATGTCTCTCAGGAGGAAGTGGAAAAGTAGTTCTAAATTTGTTCCTTGTCCTTTTTTTTTTTTGAAGATATGCGGTACAGGGAATCCAACTCAGGATCTTGTGTTTGCCAGGCTGGGGGTTATGCCACTGAGCTATATCCCCAACCCTTTTGTGTCTTTTTGAGAGAATTTCACTGTCTGCCCTGGAAGCCAAAGCCTCCTGTCCTCCCGGTTTCCTGAGAGAAGAGCACACTCTAAGCTGATCTGCTAAGGACGGGGCAGTGGAAATGCCAAGAGTGAGGCGGTTACCTAGGCCAGGGACACATCCAAGCCCATCCTGCAGGCATGCAAGCACACAGGTGCCACACAATTGCAAGACAGAATGGATATCAAAATATCCATTTAGAAAACTGGTGTATCCAAATTTTGCTCCAGAGTGTGTTGCTGTGCTCCATCTTTTTCATGGCTGACTCTGTGGTCAGGGGCAACTTGATGATGGCATAGGGGAAAAGGGGGTGCTCTTTCGAGGGTATTTGGGCTGCCTCCGGAGCCGCAGTGTCTTGGGAAGGTGGAAGGTGGGCGACATTCGTATCTTCTTCTTTTTGTGGCTGTGGATGCGCTTTCCAGGTACGCACTTAAGCTGCTGAGCTATATCCCCAGCCCCTCAAACAATTTTTTTTAAGAGTAGGACATTTTATTGGGGAAAAGTAATGGAGAATAAGGCTGGGTTCTGAATGGCTTGCCCTACTCCAACAATTTCAACAATATGAATACTGATTTTTCTCAAATACTTGGAAACATCTTATTAAAATCATTTTAGTTTTGGTCACTGTGCTTCATAGACGAGTGTATTTCAACCCCATCGCCCCCTGTACTGGGAATTGGAGCTTTGCACCACGATATACCCCCAGCCTATTTAGAGACAGGGTCTCACTATGTGGCCCATGTTGGCCTCTGACTTGCAGTGATCCTCTTGCCTCATCCTCCCTAGTGCTGGGATTGTAGGTGTGCACCACCAGGCTTGACTCTGCAGCCTTTAAAAATTTTTTTTTTTATTGTGAGACAGGGAGGTTCTAGCTGAACTGCCCGGGCTGGGCTGGCATCCACCATCCTCGTTTCTTAGCCTCCCAGAGTGCAAGGGTTACACATGTGAGTCACCATTCCTGGTTCTTAGTAGATTTTCATTTATTCTGGAAACTAGACAGAATGACAATCACTGGCATTAAGATTGAATGTTTACAAGCAGAGTTGGCATTATATTCTGCTGTCACTATCTTGAAATTCAGAATAACTTCTGATCAAGGATTCTCGGCAATTTCATTTTGCCTCTCAATTTTACAAATTATGCTCTTGATGGATTCTGAAGTTCCAGGCACTGCACTAGGTATTTTAGGGTACTGTCCCTAAGCCCTGCTGGCATTGCTTCACTTTTTTCATGGCGGTGGGAATTCAATTTAGAACCTTCACCCTTGAGGTACTGTTGTGACTTGGGTTCTTCAGATACCTCCCCAAAGCCTAATGGGGTCAGAGGTGGGTTTTTTTCAGAGGTGGCTGGATCTAGAGTGAGGCTGCAATTGATCGGTGGTGCATCTCTAGGCTCAAGGTCACTAGGATTAAGGACGTGAGCGCTACTGCCCTAAGTAGTCTGGATAAGATAATGGGTGGAGAGAGACCCAAGGTTCACTGTTGCTTTTGCTACCTTCTGCCTGCGGTGAATAGCGGTCCTTCTGCCACCTGCCAGAGGGGCAGCCGACGAGTGGAAAAGTCAGTCAAATAACACTTTCCTCCTTTAATTTTGGGCGTTGGGTGTTTTGCCTCAGCAACTAGAAAAGTAACTAAGATATAGATACATTGTCAGTTCTTTTGTTTCTCTGAGGCCCAATCTGAGTCGCTAAGCTGCCTAAGGGGTGGCGTTGTGATCTTCCTGCCTCAGCCTCCCAGAGCGCTGGGAGGCGTCCTCTTGAGATGTTACCATTTTTCTCTCTTGCTTAAAACTGGCTAAGTGAAGGCTGGAAGATTAAACACAGGGCCGCAGCTGCGTTTCAGTGATGGGTGTGAGCGCAGCGCACCCGCCGCCGGGCCTCTGGGGCGCGGCCCACCCGGCCGCTCCTAGCCGGGCTGCGTGCCGCCCAGGCGCGGAGGCCGAGACGCTCTCCGTGGACGTCCCTGCGCGGCTCCGAGCGCTCTCAGGTGCGCGTCCATGCTCCAACCCCCGCCGGCGCGCGCTCGCCCGTCGGGCGGGCACTCTCGCGCGCAAGGGTAGCGTTGACGGCGAGTTTCCCAAGTTCACACAGGCCCCGGGTTGGCATGGCAACCGGGCAACCTGTTCTAGAGCTGCCTGCGTTCTCCTTACATGCGGCTGCCACCGCCGGAGTCGGGGCCAGAGCCGATCCCATGATGCACCGCGCCAGCCCAGTCCCCAGTGGGCCGCCATGTTGTCGGAGTGAAAGGTAAGGGGGAGCGAGAGCGCCGGAGAGAGAAGATTGGGGGGCTGAAATCCATCTTCATCCTACCGCTCCGCCCGTGAGTATCCGCACCCCGCTGCCCCCAAACGCTGCCCCGGACCCCAAGCGAGCAGATTATCCCTTCGTATTGGTGTTTGAGAGCGGATGGGGGCTCAGAAGGGCTTTGGAAAAGCCGCCGGGCCCTGGCTGAGGCGTCTCACTGGCTGCTCTTCGTACATGTTTTGGAGTCAGCAGCAAGGCCCCTATTGTTATCAAAGGAGGGGGGGTGGGGAGCGGGGTCGAAGCGAGGAAAATGCCTGGGGTTTAGGCCCGGGCCCAGAGCCTAGAGGTGTCTCCCGTATTTGTGATCGGCCCTGTTGGGAGTCCCCGGAGATTGGTGATGCCATTCGGATTCTTTTTTTGATGGGTTTGCGAAGCCCAGAGTGTTGTGTGTGGCCGTAAGTGTAATTCTGTGCAATCTCGGATTTCTTCGACTTCTTGAGCTTCCCTGGCGGCGCCGATAGAGGAGGAACAATAAATCGCTTTAGAAGCAGCCGGGGCCCTAGTGCACGGGCGAGACCCACCGTGGGGGAACTTTGCAATCCTTAAATGTGGAGAAGTGGGGATCAGGAAGTTTTAGATCGCTCTTTAGGCTTCTGGGTTCTTGTGGCCTATTGTTTCCGTGAGAGCTCGTGTTTGGGGTAGGTTCTTCTTCCTCTCTGAGCCTCCCAGCGTTGGGGTGTGTGTGTGTGTGTGTGTGTGTGTGTGTGTGTCTCTCAAGTCTAGCAGGGGTTACCACCTCGCCGGTAGGAAGAAACATCTGTATACAGAATAATAGTTTTCTTCCTCGCAGACATGCTTGGTAAACATAGGTCATTTGTTTTGTCACTATCACTTCCACGTCGTGAGGAATACACTCCTGTAACTTTTTTCCACTGTAGTTACCCCCTTCCCTCTCGCCCCGAAACCAAATCAAAGAAACCCACATACAATTAGCAAGAGGAGACGATCCTCCCCATAACTTTGGAGGATCGTTCCCCTTCATTGTTCCATTAAGAAAACACCGTCCTTAGCGCTTGATCATTTTGTTCACTTCCGATTATTACTGCGATTGGTAAGAATAAGATTTTATGAGGCCTTTTGTTGAGGTTCTGTTAAAGTCAGTTATTTCTGAGACAAAAGGGTTGTAGCTCTAGCTGTTTTGTGGAACGCTGGAGAAAGCTCACCAAGACAAGCCTTTCTGAAGATACGTTATGTGGGTTCCGATGCAGTTTTAGTAAACAAAGTGAAACATTTCATCCTCTGCAAATTTTAACTTTGTGAAATACTCGGTGTTCTTGATTCTTTTATCTGGAAATACTGGATTGTGAACTTTTGAGTATGCGTTTTGCCTTAGCCATATTTGAATTCATTTTAAGGCCATAGCTTTTTGAACTTGGAGTTTGTTTAGCTTGGGTTTGAGATGAATTGCTTTAAAATAAATTTATGACCACAGTGTTTTGTTCAGTGTGATAAAAATAAACACTTTTAAAGCCACTAAGCATTTTAGTAAAAGGATAGTTTAATCCGTGTTCCTTTGTTTGAAGTTCAAACTCTTATTAGATATTAGAAAAAGAAAACAAAAGAAAATAAAACAAAACCACACCTTGACATAAATAGTTTGGAAACAGTGGTAGAATGGCTAGGATTGGCAGCTCAAATGCCTAAAATATATATATTTTTTAACTCCATGTGGCTTATGCTTAAAAATACTTTGATTAATTAAATTTTTTTTTTTTTTTTCCTTTTTTGAGGCACAGTCTCACTATGCAGTTCAGGCTAGTTTTGAACTCACTTTGTAGCCCAGGCTGGGCTTGAACTCACAGTGGTTCTCCAGCCTTCCGAGTGCTGGGATTGCAGGGGAGCATCACCATGCCCAGCCTTTAAAAATATTTTATAGTGCATGTTAAATTGGAATAGTGATGTTCATTTGGGGAATTAGTACATGAACTGTAAACCACATTAACTTCTCTAAATTTCTTACTTGTATAGGTCATTTATATAAAAATACTTTTCAGCTGGGCATGATGGTGCATGCCTATTGATCCCAGAATCCTGGAGGCTGAGGCCAGTGGATCACTGAGTTTGAGGCCAGTCTGGGCCATACAGCTAGAACCTGTTTTTTTTTTTTAAGGAATTAATTAATTTTGGTGGAACTGGGAATTAAACTCAGGCCCTTGCGCTTGCCAGGCAAGCGCCTATTCTACTGAGCCATCTCCCGGGCTCCAAGAAATTTTTTAAAAAGAATAAAAATACATTTCAGGACTGGGGAGATAGCTCAGCAGTCTAATCACCTGCCTAGCAAGCACAAAGACCTGGGTTCGATGCCGGGTCTGCATGCCATTCTGGTCCTGGAACCTTGGGCAGGCTGTGCTGGCCACCAGAACCGGGCGTGGTGGTGTGCACCTGTAATTCCAACTGTGGGGAGGCTGAGACAGGAGGATCACTATGAGTCCAAGCTGCATATCGAGACCCTGTATCCAATAAATAAATAAAAATTAAAACATTTCAAATTTTACACATAACTTTTGGTGAGCTTTGAGAGTTCCTAGAAGATAAGCCATTTAAATTCCCCCCCCCATAGTCTTAATTTTTATGCTAAAATTGCCCAAGACATGCTGATTGCTTAGGTATTCACTTTTCAAAATGTCCCATCTGCCAGGTTTTCTTTTGTTTGGGAAATGACTTTACCTTCTTAGGTAAAGCAGGAAGTCTTCGGGTTCTACAAATAGCTCAATGAAGCCAGTTTGGTTTAAACATTTTAAATGAGCCCCTCTCCCTATCCTTTTTTAGAATGTGCTGTGCTTGTGTGGTTTTCTTTTTTAGCCAGGGTCTCACCATGTAGTGCAGGATGGCCAACTCCTCAGCCTCCAGAGTTCTAGGTTTATAGGATTGCACCACCACACCTGGCCAAGTTTCTTTTTCACATAGAAATTAGTTTTATTTTATTTATACATTCTTTTTTTTTTTTTTTTTGTGCCACATCTTGCTATATAGTTTTGACTGATCTTGAACTCACTATATAATGTAGTACAGGCTAGCTAGCATGGAACTGTAGTGTCCTCTTGCTTCAGCTGAGTATTGGAATTATAGGTGTGTGCTGCAACACCTAGTTGGAAATCCATTTTATTTTAATGAATGAATGCATGAATGAATGATTATTATTATTATTATTTTTTTTTTTTGAGGCAGGCTCTCACTAAGTAGGCTGGCCTCAAACTCATGGAGATCCTTCTGAGAGCTGAGACTACAGGCAACCACGCCCAGTGGAAATTCGTTTTAGATAACTATTTTGACAGGCCTTTTATATCAGAAAAGGCAGTATTTATTATTATTAGGAATTTTAAGAGATTGGCTGTTATTAGGGGTGCTAATGAGATTTGTAGAATCTTCAACATGGTGGCTTTAAATTTATCAACAACAACAACAACAAAAAACCATTAGTTTATTTTGATTAGAAAGGTGCGGCTAGTCATGGTGGCACATGCCTGTAATCCCAGCAGTGGTATCACTGAAGCAGGAAGATTGGTGAGTTTGAGGCCAGCCTAGACTACAGATAGTGAGACCCTGTCTGCAAAAAAAAATACTTTGATTAAAAGCAAACAGACATAGGTGATTTCTTCCATTTCTTAGGTGAGGAAATGGGTTTGGAAGGCTTGTTTACTGATAGTTTGAGTTTTGGGAATATTCTAGAAAAAAGATTATTTGATTGAGAGTCTTTTGTAGAAGAAAGTGGTACTGCCCAGTATTGGAAATAGTGTAACGAGCACTTTTGAAAATCAAGTGAAAATCAAGTGGTTTGTTTTCTTGCAAAGACTATAGTGAAGCCATTGTACTTTCCTGGTTTTGTTATTTGTACATGGATGGAATTTTATTCATGAAAACAGAACCTGAAGTTTAGAATGCTGAACTATTCCAGTCCTGTTATAAGGTTCTACTGGAGTGGAATCGTTAACCTATACTAGACATTTCTGTGGAATCGTTAACCTATACTAGACGTATTCTCTGTGTCTTTGTGGTTTAGAAACATGAATTTTGTGAGAAGTGAATGCTACTTTACCACCAATAAGCTTAATTATTCAGTAAGGGAGATTATCAATTTCTCATTGATATATAAGCTTAAAAAATAGTGGATTCAGGTTGATAACCTTTAAATCAGGCCCCAGTCCTTGAGATGGCTAGGTTATAATTCTGATTTTTTTTGTCCCAGTTGTGATGATTGTGTCTGAATTCTGATTGATTTTCTTTGTATGTACAAGTGTGATTTTCTGATTTTAAGAAACTTTAGTAGTAATGTTTCATGGTAACATTTCAAGGATTCTTTGTTTTCCCCCAAAAGTGAGGATACCAGGGAGTGATACAGTTGCAAGGAGGTGATAGGAGGAACTGGGCTTAACTGCAGAATAGATTGAGGTCCATTCTTTTTTTTTGGGGGGGGGGGGAACTGGGGATTGAACTCAGACCCTTGCGCTTGCCAGGAAAGCCCTTACTCCACTGAGCCATTTTCCTGGCCCCTGAGGTCCATTCTTGCTACTCACTAGCTAACTGACTTTCAACACAGTGTATACCTTCTGTCCCTTAAGGTTTTCATTATAAAATAGGAACACTGATTCTTAACCTTTTACTGTTTCTGTGATGAGATAATGTCTGCCGTATATTTGGTACACTGTGGTGAGGCCTTTGGATTTTACAGTGATGTTTTGTACACTAGTAAAGTAAGTTTGGTTTGTCTCATCGTGTTTTTAGGCGTTGAAGCACTAACAGAATAATTATACGATTATATTATAATTGTAAGCTATTGGTAAAAGTCTTGAATTCCCCCTTCCTCTTCAGTAGCGGCTGAGGAGAGTGTTTAGACTAAGAACATTCTGTTACTGTTCTTGATCAGAATGTCTTGTTTCTCTAAGAGTTATTCAATGAATACATTGGACATGTTTTTGTTTTGAGACAGGATCCTGATACGTAGTTCAGACTAGCCCCTTGAACTCACTGTAGCTTAGGTGGGCCTGCACCTTAGCCTCCTGCCTCATCTTCCTACTGCTGGGATTACAGGTGTGCATGTCATATGCCTGCTATATTAACAATGCAAAGGATTCTTTCAAGTTAGACTGTCTGAGCTATTTGTAGATATATATTTTTTCTTTCTTTTTTTTTTTTTTTTGGAACTGGGGATTGAACTCAGGCCCTTGTGCTTGCCAGGCAAGTGCTTGTTCTACTGAGACATCTCCCCGGCCCCATCGTAGTTATATTTGGGGTTTAGTTTTTCTATTGGCATGTGTCTGCTCCAGCAGTAAAGTTGTGATGATTTCTTTATTATCTTTTTTTTTTTTTTT